CAGCAGTTTGTAAACAAACAAAATGATCGTGTTTACTTGCTAAAGAGGTCAGCTGAAAATGTGCACCTTCGGTTGGCCACCAGAACTCAAAAACATTCTTTGTCCAGCAGTTTGTAAACAAATAAAATGATCGTGTTTACTTGCCAAAGAGGTCAGCTGAAAATGTGCGCCGGCCATGGTGATAGTGTGGGCCGCCATAACAGCCGATGGTCGCTCTCCGTTTGTATTAATCGACATAAGAATAAATGCCAAATATTATCGCGAAAATATTCTGGAGGGTACATTAAAGCCTTGGGCACGCAAATATTTTGACCGCAGACCTTGGACATCCTAACAGGTTTCATTGCACTCAGCACGGCCCATCACTCTCAGCACGCGCCACCCAAGAATGGTTAGAAAATGAGGTTCCTTGCTTCATTTCCAGCGCACTATGGCCCCAAAATCCCCGGATACCAATCCGTTGGACTATTGCGTCTGGAGTATTTTGGAAAGCAATGTTGGCACTAAAAAAATACCAAAGTGTCGATCACCTCAAGCAAGCGCTTGGCCAGGAATGGGCGAAAATACAGCAGAGCAAAATTCGGGCAGCGTGTGACGGTTTTATTGGTCGTTTAAAGGCAATAATTCGTGCGAAAGGTGACCAATTCGAACAAATGTAAGCATAGTCTAAAATTTGATGCTATTTCCGACATTTTTTGATTTCATTCAATCAAATTAAAAAAAAAATTAAATTATGGCGTTTGACTTGTTGCAGTTTTTTTTATCTCAGCCTGTATATACTTTGTAGGGTCTATTATGAATATTTCGAGGAGTTACAAACGGAATGATAAAGTTTATATACCTTCATAGAATTGTGAAATTGCGAATAAAAAACTCAATAATAAAAAAGATATGGCCAAAGTAAGAAAATAATGTTGCGCAGCTTTAATATCAGGGTATTTTCGAAAGAAAAATATGTTTTTTAATTTCGAAAATGTAATTGCCTAATTTAATTTTTTTGAATCATAAAAAGCATTGATGAACTTTTTTAAAAATTTAGTAAAAATATTTATCTTCCCTTCACTGTTGCAGCAACATTCGCTGCCTGTTGAGCCACACCAATGGCCTGAATTGTGGCATCGCGGGTATGTTGACCAACTCGTTCCTATTTAAAGATAAAAAAGACATTTTCTCAAAAATTCTATATAAAAACATATTTTTAATGTAGAACTTACAATTTTCTTGCCAACTTTTTTCAGCCAACCTGCTTCACCTTGAGCCACAAATACGGTCAAAACTAAAGCAATAAATACGAAAATTTTGAATTGCATATTGATGATTTATATTTAATTCGAAACAAATTGAATTTCAAAGATGAGCTTTTATGACTTGCTTTGGATGTAGACTGATATTAAATAAAGCCGAATCAATAGTTTATATACTTTTTTCAATAAAGTACTCTGAATCATATCAACCACTAGCAATGAGTTTTATTGAGGTTGTCATCTGCTTTGATTTATTTAAAATTATAAAATAGATTAATTAAATGAGGGTACTTTCTGAAAGGGGTGAATTACAAAAAAAAAAATACGTAAAAATATTGTGGTTTTTACTGAACGTTTTTGGTATACGTTTATGTAGATAATTTGGTGTCCTCTGTGGCGGTTAATTTAAAAATATTTTTAAGTACTATATCAGAGGATGTAGAATATTCTAGGAGGCTGTCATACTCACATCATAAAAAATTTTAAATAATATTTTTGAAAGACTGTTAGAGCTGTAATGCTCAATTTTTTCAGGAGTAGAATATTATTTGTGAGTGTCCACAAGAGTTATAACAACCATTTTTTATAAATTTTTTTTTTTAGGGAACCTCGGATTTGGATTTTTCAAGAATATTTTTTTAAATCTAATAGACCTAACATTGTGGAATATTTGTGACATAGTTGTGGATTTTTTTTTATCGTTTTTAAGAATATTTTACCAAGGACTGGAAGACTCGTGGGTTTTTTTTGAGAATAATTCTTTAGGGTCTACTTTTTTTTGAACATTTCTTCAAGGGCACTCAGATCCATACAAGTGAATTCTGTGAGAATGTTTTAAGGGATCACCAGAGCTATTTTCATGGATATAAAGAGTATTTTTATACCCTCAGCCATATGGCTAGAGAGGGTATATATCATTTGATACGGCCAAAACGTGCCTCATCGAAATAACCCTAGGTCTCTTTGGACCAAATCAGTTTCAGGACACTTGGAGTCGATCTAGCAATGTCCGTCCGACTGTCTATCTGGGTACATCGTAATATTATTGCCAAACTTGGATCGAGTTCGCAGATGGGCAATATCGGTCCACACTTCTGGTACCTCTCCCGCAAAATGACAGCATTTTCAAAGAAAATAATTTACTGCGCAGAAAGCGAAAGGATTATCCGATTTTGCTCCAACTTTGCTTATCCTAATATTTGCATCAGTGCTAGGTCAGGTGCGAAAATGGACAATATCGGTCCACTCCATCAAGTACGTCCTACACAATTATAAACCTTATAAAAGGAGTTGTAAGAGTCCGATTGTCTCCAAATTATCCACATCACAATATTTTTATCAATCCAACGTCGGTCCACTCCTTCGGGTACATCACCACCCCCCAAAAAAGGGTAGCATTTTTGAATATTCATGAAGCTCATAAAACACGAAATAAACATCCGATTCCATTTAGACTTGGCATATCTCAATATTTCTATTAATATAAGATCTGATATAAAGATGGTAGAGATCGGACCATTCCTTCTGGTACCCCACCCACAAAGGTTTAAAATTTTAAATAACCAAAACGATCTTAAAAAGTCCGAAAACTGCCTCCGGTTTTCTTCAAATTACACATCATAATATTTTTAGTAGGCCGAGGTCTGGTGTGAAGATGGGATATATCGGTCCAATCCTTCTGGTACCTCCTCAACATTTTGAGTATCCGCGAAGCTCATAAAACTCGAGAATAACGTCCGATTCCATTCAGACTTGATCCATCTCAATATTCCCGTCAACACAAGGTCTGTTATAAAGATGGTAGAGATCGCACCATTTCTTCTGCTACCTCCCCCATATACAATTCAAGATTTTGAAAAGCAAAACGCTCAAATAACGCAAAAGAAGCATCCAAATCCATCCATCTATCCATCTCCTCAAATTTACCTTTTACAAAGATTTTTGCTAACACAAGATCTGTTTTAAAGTTGACATATATCTGCGAACCCCTCCTGTTACAAAGTGTCAAATTTTTCTCTCAACCAGAAACCTGGGATGAATAATGAATGTATGATTCCCTTATAAAATTGGATATAAATGTTCGATTTCCTTCAAATGTTGCCTATACCAATATTTGTATCTGTATTAGATGAAATATGAAAATGGAATACTTCGGTCCGCTATATGTCATTTCACATTCCACATTTTCCAAAAATTATCACATATCTCATATAAAGTGAGGGAAGTAGTCGATTTGGTCCAAATCTGGTACGTTGTAATATTTATACAAGTCATAGGTCAGATACGAATTGGTCAATTTCGGCCAACTGCTTCAGAACCTCCCCCATAAAGGGTCAGCCTTTTAAAAAATTATAACTCAAGGCTGGGGGTATACACCTGTCGGTAAAACCGACTGATACTATTTTTGTGTGTTTCAAGAACTATCAGAACCATACTCGTGAATTACCTAAGAATTTTGCAAAAATATGTTTTGATCATAGATTTTTAAGAATATTAGGAAATATCTGAAAAAAAAATATTTCTTGAAAGGCTATCTGAGCTATATTCATGTTGTAAGGATATTTTATCAAGGGCAAGTATAACCATACTCGTAGATATTTTAAGAATATTTTCGAGGAAAGATTAGAGGTACAATCGTGGATTTTTTAAACATGTTTTTGAGCGAAAAACAAAGATATTTATGGTTTCATATTTTAAATTAAGAATTTTTGATAAAACCTATTGAAGCCATTTTTTAAGATTCTTTTTAAGGACTGTCGAAGGTAATAACCGAGGATTTTTGTAATAATTTTCTTAAAGGACCATAAGAATATTAGATGAACAATTAACATGGATTTAAAGAGTAATATTGATAGACTACCAATGATTTTTTGAAGAAGAAGACTTTTGAGCTATTGCCGAAGTCCAAATCGTAAATTTCTTTAGAAAATGTATTGAAGGGCCACAATAAACAGCTTCTAAGAAAGTCAATAAAAGTTCACACATTCAAGTTCATACCAGACAAAAATTCAAAGTTAAAAAAAAAAACAAGTTAAAAGTCGGGTTTGCCTACATATGTATACCCTCAGCCAATGTTCGATTATTTAAGTATATTTTGAATTCTGTTATGATTATTCAAATTGTAGGTTTCGAAGGAATGGGCCAACATTGTCCGTGGGGCCAATATTGTCGGACCTAAATGAATGATCTAAATATTGGGACGTGCCAGGTTTGGACTATATCGACTGTTTCCTTCACTTTATATGAGATATGTGAAATTTTTAAGAAAATGTTAAAATGAGCGTAAATTGCCAGACATAGTCGACCAACGTATTCCATTTTCATTTAGAACTTCATCTAATACAGATAAAAATATTGATATTGGCAAAATTACATTTGCTTTAGATTAAATGAATGTTTTAAGAGTATGATAATTATGAATAATATATAACATGTAAAAATTTTATAAAAATATTTATAGTATTTTTTTTTTTTTTTTTTTTTGTAGCCTCAAAAGCCCCGATACCCAATACCAGAAATTACCAATTTCCCCATATACAAATAAATCGATCACCAAAATCAGTCAAACCAATCCAATGAGCAACAACAATATAAACCCCCAACTCAAAAACCACACATTGCAAAAAATACGTACATGACCATACCTAATTATATTTCCCCATTTTTTTTTTTTTTGTTCTTTTTTCAGCAACAAGACATTGTTGTGAATCACGAAACGAAACTTTTAAGTTGCCTATAAAAACTAAGGCTCGTGTCGCTTCCGTCATCAGTTTCTATTGCACAAGGCTCTTAAAACAATTAGAAAATATCAATTTACATTTTTCAAAAGAAAAACACAACAACAAACAATGAAATTCAATACAATTTTTATTTTTGTTGCCCTAATTGTGGCTGCTTTCGTTGGCCAAAGTGAGGCTGGCTGGCTGAAGAAAGTCGGCAAGAAAATTGTAAGTTTTTAATTGGTGGAAAAAAGTAAATTCTTATTAAACAATATTTTTCTTCTAATTTAAGGAACGTGTTGGTCAACATACTCGTGATGCCACCATTCAAGGCCTTGGTGTCGCTCAACAGGCTGCAAATGTAGTTGCAACAGTCAAAGGAAAATAATCCCGCTAATTTAAATATTAAATTAATAAAGTAGATCCCAGTTCCAGGATGAATAATTAACTTTTGTACTGTCAACTCTTGTACGCTCTTCGTACATCCCCTAAAAAGATTAAACTTTTGAATAATAACTTTTATAAAATGTAAAAATAATGTCTTATGTTTTAAAACTTCTCGCATTTAGAACTGATGTGAATATGTGCTAAAATCGGTCCCCCAAAATAGACCAACATTGTTGAAAACCCTAACATAGGGCCTAAAGTTTTTCAACAATGTTGACCTCTTTTGGGAACCTATTTTGAAGATCGGACTCTCTTAAATCGATTTTTTTTAAATGTTAGTTTCGTGAAAATGTCATGGAAATTGTTCTAAATTTTAAATTCAAGAAAGATATATTAACATAATCTGCTCAAACTTGTGTATAGTCAATAATGCATTGGCGTTGGCGATAGTACATGCTAAATGTAGGAGAAAGTATAACTTTATGAACACACCAACACATACCTGAAATATTCGACTGCAAAAATGCCATTATGGAGTGCTGTAAAAGAGAAATAAAAATTTGTATTTAAAGTGGTATCAATAAATGGTTACAACGTTTACACAGTAACTCCAAGCGAGACTCGTACAGCTAAAGAAAAAAAAATAATTTTCTTATAACTTCCAAAAATCAAAATTTACAAAAAAAATGTAACAATCTTTTCGCAAAAACTATGTTCAATTTTTTTGGTATTCTTCTAACAAAGCTTTCTTCGAATCTTCTTTGCAAGATATGGTATGCTGGCGATTTTTCCATCAAGATAGCAACATAAATTTTCTATCGGGTTTACGTCTGGACTCTGGGCTGGTGTATCCATGACGTGGGGACAAAATAAAAAAATGCAACAAAGTCAAACGCATTAATTTTTATTTATTTTTTTTTTTTAATTTTATTCAATGAGAGCAAACAATGTCGGATATGGCATCAAATTTTAAAATAAGTTTAGTTTTGTTCGAATTGGTCACCTTTGAGACGAATTATGGCCTTCAAACGGCCAATGAAACCGTCACACGCTACCCGCTGTTGCTCTGCGTTATTTTGGACCCATTCCCGGCGAAACGTTTGCTTAAAATGGTCGACACTTTGTTATTTTTTAGAGCCAACCTTGCTTTCCAAAATACTCCAGACACAATAGTCCAACGTATTGGTATCCGGAGATTTTAGTGACCATTGTGCGCTGAAAAGAAGCGAGGAACCTCATTTTGTAATCATTCTTGGGTGGCGCGTGCTGAGTGCGATAGTGCTGAGTCCTGTTGGAATGTCCAAGGCCTGCGGCCAAAATATTTGCATGCCCAAGGCTTTTTATTAGCGCTGCTCAAGAAAAAATATCCCTTCCCAGTCAAATTTCTCTTTGCTTATTTAAATCAATAACAAAACAATGTTAAGTCTTTATTTACACAAATACTTTTTATCCAATTGCTTTATAAATTATTTTAGCAAACATTCGTGTTTAAAAACAATTCAATAGAATCGTCATATATAAAGAAAAACCGAACTTAAAATTTCTCTAAAATTATCTCTTTTTTCGACTCATGTTCTAGAACACGGTTTTGAGCAGGGCTGCTTTAATACACCCTCCAGAATATTTTCGCAATAATATTCGGCATTTATTCTGATACCACGGTCGATTAATACGAATGGAGAGCGACCATCGGCTGTTATGGCGGCCCACATCATCACCATGGCCGGCGCTTGAGTTCTGGTGGCCAACCCAAGGTGCATATTTTCAGTTGACCTCTTTGGCAAGTAAACACGATCATTTCGATCAAGTGCTTCTTACTTTTCTAACCATTTCTGCTAATGTTATTGTTTTCTTCCGTCCACTTCCTTGACGTCGTGCTACGCTACCAGTATCACGGTAACGAGCGATGGTACGAGACACAAAAGATTTATTCACATTTAAATGCTGAAGTGCTTTAATGATAGCCACTTGTGGTTTTCCAGCCAAATATAAAGAAATCACACTATCACGCTTGAATTCTATCACGAATAACTTTTTTCTATGCTGGCGGATTTTTCAATCGAGATAGCTCCATAAATTCCCTATGGGGTTTATGTCTGGACTCTGGGTTGGTGTTTCCATGACGTGGTGACAATTATAAAGCAGCCATGACCTCACTTTATAACCCTTGTGTTTCAGATCATTGTCTTGATAAAAATTATAATCTTTTCTAAAGCCGAGCTTTCCCTTATAGAACGGCAAAATTTCTTTCAATGAAATACACCAGGTTCGGAGACTGAAAATGAACCCCACTCGATAACTGACCCGCGCTTCATAGTTTTTGCAAGGAGCGTTTCAGTTGCCTTGCTCCATACATAAAGTCTGCCATCTGAACCAAAAAGGTTGAATTTGCTCTCGTCCGTCAACAGCACATTCTTTTGAAAATAAAAAATAATTTTTTTTCTTCTTGATTTCGCTTGCTGAGTAGAGGTTAATGTCTAGCTCTTCTTCCTTGGTAATTCAACTTATGTAGTATATTTCTTATTGTTTGAGGGCAACATACTTTTCCCAAATCCTTTTCAGCAATTTTCACGAGTTTCGGTGCACTCAAAAATGAATCCTTTTTGATCCAAAATATACTTCTCATCACTCAAGGTAAATATTCTATTATTTGTCGTTTTTGACTTATTTCCTACACATACATCTATTTTGAACCGTTTTATGATGTACTGAACTGTAAATCGGCTTATATTAACAATCTCAGATATCTCACTTAGCGATTTATGGAATTTGTAATGTTTATTTACTAAATATCTCACATCAACAGTGGCCTTCCCTTTTTTTAGTTTTTTAATATTTACGTCAGTAAGTTACACAACACGTGGAATTTTGTGATAAATTAGTTTTTAGGGACTTCCGCAAATACATTTTCCAAAAACAATCGCGGGGAGTTGGACGCAGTTCGAAACAGGGTTGTCGTATATCAGGTTTCGTTCTCTAGTTCCCGAATAATAGCAACTTAAACTAATCTGCTCATTTCCAATTTATTGGTAGATGTTGCACATAAATGGTCTTCCTAGATCTGGAACCAATATTCAACAAATATTTAACGAAATCAGCGTTAACGAAATAGTCAAAAGTGCGTCTTTACTGTGTTTCTGAATTCTCCAAAAAGTCACTGAAACTGACATTTTCGTATTTTGTCTACAAAAGTTGGCACACTATTTCACATATTGAATATTTTTGGATGGCCATCCAAAACTGCTTGGCTTTTGCAATGTCCGGTAACCCCCATTCAAATGTGCCTGAGGACCGGGCGATAATTACGACCTGCTGAAAATTTTGCAGTTTTTTGGTCCATTTCAACCCCTAAATATATGGCGATCATCTCTAAAAAGGGTAGGCTTCTATTCAGACCCTCATCTTATCCCCATGCAAAATTTCGTAAGGATCGGGCCATAAGTGCGATCTGTATATGATATCCTGATATCTTAACTACTTAGTTTTGTTAGCTGTAGAAATATTACCAAATGTTTAATTCAAAATTAAAATATGTCAAAAATATGACAAAATTGAAAAAATATGAGAACATTTTACAAAATCAATATTTTCAGCTTTAGAGAGATATTTTTATGCGATTTTTTAGACGTTTTATCTTTCCTGCCAGGAGGCCATTCTGAATTAATGAGAACTGTCGAAATCAGTTCAGTCGTTCTCTACATATAAGAGATCTTTCAAGCATATCTTCTTTGATAGACATATATACCGCACATATTTTTCTATATATCCGATTTGTTGGATGTTAACATCAATGTAAAGATCAGAAATAACCTTGTCATGGCTTTGTGATTTCGCCGGGATTTAAAATATTCGCGGTTTAATGAAAAATGTTAAATTTTTTCAACACAAAATATATGGTCTATTTTACCCGCTAAATATTATCCGATGACCACCCTAATTGGTAGGCTTCTTCCCCGCCCTAAACTCTAGCTACATACGAAATTCCGCGTCGATTGGTTTATTATTGCGACCTGTATAGCTACTGCAAAATCCGATATTTTTCAGTATTTGGTCCATTTCAACCCCTAAACATTTGGCGATCATCTCCAAAAGAAATAGGCTTCTATTCTGACCCTAACCCCACCTCCATTTTAAATTTCGTGAAGATCGGACCATAATTGCGACCTGTAGAGTGATTACAAATTAACATGGACAGACGGACGGACGGACATACATAGCTAGATCGACTCAGCTCGGCGAGCTAGGAAGATCCATATATACTTTCCTATGTGGGAAACCAATATTTCGTGGTGTTACATAAATTCTGGCCCAATCAAACTTATAATACCCCCAACGCATAGTGTTGTAGGGTATAAAAATACAGGTTTTTCTGGTAGTGAATTTGATAACAATCATATATTGCATGAAAGAAAATTGTTTGCTAAGTGTACGAGTTTTGCTTGGAGCTACTGAAGCTCAATTATGTTTTACCGAAAAGGGACTTTAAACACTTTTTTAAAAGTTTTTCCGTTGAAGTTGGCTATTTTTGAGGAAAATAGTAAGTTTTTACTTGAAAGAGGCGCCTGAAAATGTCTCAAACTTCCTCGGCCCACAAACATACTTTTTTACATTTTTATTTTCCTTGATGGCTTTTCATTTTTTAATATCCAAAAAATTTACAATTTTTGCATTGAGTTTGTTTATAAAAATAACTTATTCATCTACTTATGCTAACAGTTCTTGTTATAAAATAAAAAATATTGATTTATTTCCCCTTCAACGTTGCAGCTACATTCGCTGCCTGCTGGGCAACGCCAATGGCTTGAATGGTAGCATCACGCGTGTGCTGGCCAACACGTTCCTATTAATTATAATAAACAAGAAGTTAGCAAAAAATTAATTTATTCACAACACAGTAGTATACTTACAATTTTTTTGCCAATCTTTTTTAACCATCCCGCTTGGCTGTGACTAACAAAGATAGCCAAAACAGCGGCAACCAAGAGAAAGATTTTGCTAAAGTTCATTCTGATATTCTTTTGTACGTATCGAAAAGGAATTGTGGTTGTGTTTAAGCTTTACTTTGCTCTGTGTTCGATGACAAACTGATGACGCACTCAACTGAAACCTTAGCTTTTATAGGCTACCGCATATTCGAAAATGTGTTCTTAGTTTCTTTTGTGTAGAATAAGGAAATACAATATAATGCGGGGAATCACTTTGAGAGGAATCTACGGGAATGCGTATTTCCCCCCCAACAAAGAGTTTTTTTGATCAGTGACGTTATTATTGTTGATGTTTGTGCAGCCTCCTTTTTTGTGTAAAAAAAATTGTGGATCTACATCTGATAATTAACCTTGACAGTGATCTCTGCGTAGATGGGTTGTAATTGATGAGAGAAGATACTTTTAAAAGAGGGAATTCCCTCTACAAAGAAAACAATATTTCGATTTTTTTTTTCTTCTTTGAGGCAACAGTTTTGTTATATTCACGTAAGATGAAAAAAATCAGTGAACTGCAGATAAGAAATTGAATTACATACCGACGTTGCAGTAAAAACAATAACAACAAGGTAAAAAGTACATCTGTCAGGCAAATCCGACCTCAGCCATTGTTCGATTATTGAAATATATTTTGAGTACAGTAATGATTATTTATATTTTTGACCCTCTATGGAGTAGGCTCCGAGGGAATGGACCAATATTGTCCATTTGATATCGGACATAAAGAAATCTGAAATAATTATTGCGACACGTCAAGTTTGGGCAATATCAATTACTTCCTTCACTTAATATGAGAAATGTGATCATTTAAAAAAAAATGAAAAAAAGTTCGTGTGGAGCCAAATATAAAGGGTGAGATAAAAAAACTGCAATTAAGTCGCTCGTTACCGTGAAACTGGTAGCGTAGCCCGACGACAAGGAATTGAACTGAAGAAAACAGCAACATCAGCAGAAATGGTTCGAAAAGTAAAGAAGCAACTTGATCGAAACCCGCGTCGCAGTGGCCGAAAAATGGCTCGTGAGCTGAACATATCGTAATATTCCATTCGGCAAATATTGAAAGAAGAACTCAGGGTAAAGCCAATGAAATTCCAAAAAGTGCAAGAACTTATCCCACAACAGAAAGAAAATAGACTCAAAAGAGCTAAAGAGTTGCTTCGCTTGGCCGAACGTGGTGAACTGTTGAATTTGGTTTTCTCCGATGAGAAAACATTCGTTGTCCAGCAGTTTGTAACCAAACAAAATGATCGAGTTCACTTGCCAAAGAGGTCAGCTGAAAATGTGCACCTTCGGCACCACCTCAAGCAAGCTCTTCGCTGGGAATTGACCAAAATACCGCAGAGCAACATTCGGGCAGCGTGTGACGTTTTCATTGGCCGTTTGAAGACCATAATTCGTGCCAAAGGTGACCAATTCGAACAAATCTAAACTTATTCTAAAATTTGATGCTATTTCCGACATTTTTTGCTTTAATTCAATAAAATTAAAAAAAAATTAAAATTATGGCGATTAACTTTGTTGCAGTTTTCTCTCTCACAGGAGTGGACCGATATATTCCATCTTAACACCAGACATTGGTTTAATAAAAATATTGTGATGTGTGTAATTTGAAGACAATCGGACTCTTACATCACCTTTTATGAGTTATAATTATTCAAAGTTTTGACTCTTTGTGGGGGAGGTACTCGATGGAGTAGACCGATATTGTCCATTTTCCCACCTGACGTAGCACTAATGCAAAATTAGGATCTGCGAATTTGGAGCAAAATCGGATTATATTTTCTCTTTCTGTGCAGTAAAATACTTTTTTTTTAATCTCCACCTTTTGTGGGGGAGGTGCCAGAAGATATGGACGATATTGCCCATCTCCGAACTCGATCTAAGTTTGATAATAATATTACGAAGTACTAAGTTTGACAAAATCGAATACTCCCTACAATAGTTATCGTGCGCTCCTGCCAGCCAGAGGAACGGACGGACATCGCTAGATCGCTCCAAATGTCTTCAAACGGAGACCAAAGAGACCTAAGGTCTAAAACCGTTATTTCGACCAGACACGTTTTGACCGTATCAAATTACATATAATTACATCAACCTTTTTTCTCAGCAAATCAAATTACAACAAGTAAAAAAGCAGTAAGTTCGGCTGGGCCGAACTTTGAATATCCTCCACCATTTGGAAAGAACTAGAAAATTTTGAAAAAAAAATAATAAAATCTATTAAAAATTCTGTTAAAATCTTTAAAATACCTGATACCGGAAGTTGCCGATATATGGGGGGATATACGATATTGTGGACCTATATAGAGAATTTTCTGTCAGGGGGTAAAGTACTCACAAAAAACCCCTCGTATAAAATTTCAGACAATTCCGTTGAAAATGTGGCTAAAATGATCAAAATACCGAATATCGAGGGGTGCGTTTTATATGGGGGACGTACGATATCGTTAACCTATATAGAGAATTCTCTATCAGTGGGGAAAGTGCTCACAAGGAACTCCTTGTGTGGATTATCATACAATTCTGTTTAAAAATACGGCTAAAATCATCAAAATACAGAATATCGGGGGATACCGTTATATGGGGGCTATACGATATCGTGGACCTATATAGATAATTCTCTTCCGAGGTATAAAGTACTCAAAAGGGACTCCTTGTGTGGAATTTCGGACAATTCCGTTGAAAAATGTGGGTGAAATCATCTAAATACTGAATATCGGGGGTACCGTTATATGGGGGTGCTCTCTCGGGGGTAAAGTACTCACAAGGGACTTCTTCTGTGTATTTTCAGACTATACGATATCGTGGACCTATATAGATAATTCTTATCCGAGGTATAAAGTATTCACAAGGAACCCCTTGAGTGGATTTTCAGACCATTCCATTAGAAAATATGGCTAACATCATCAAAATACAGAATATCGGGGGTACCGTTATATGGGGGCTATACGATATCGTGGACCGATATAGCTCATCTTCGAACTTGACCTGCCTGCAGATAGAAGAGAGATCTGTGTAAAATTTTAGCTTCCTATCTTAGTTCGGTTAGACTGTAGCATGATTACAAATGACGGACAGGGCTTAGAATTTTACGCTGATCAAGAATATATATATACTTTGTTAGGTCTAAAATGATTATTTCGGAATGACGAACTTAATATACCCTCCATACTATGTATGGTGGAGGGTATAAAAAACTCGATTACAAAACCTTGAAACATCCACTATTCAAGCCGTTGAGAGGTATTCCAAAAAAGAATAACGATTTTGAATAGAAATGCTTGAAAAATACTCTTAAAAATCCGGTAGGAGAGTAGGAAAAAATACGGGAGGTACCAGAAATCGTAAACCTACATATCACGTTGTCATATTTAATTTGAGAAAAATTTTTGTTTTGGTTTTTCAAAGTCCTGACTTTTTGTGTGAGGGGTACCAGCAAGAATGGACTAATACATTCTAGTTCATCGGTCAAGTTGTTTGGTTTCATAACTTTTAAAAATTTTTAAGCTATTGAAGGATAGTAACCAGAAGCAGTGGACCGCCATTTTTATTTCATTGTTCACACAAGATGTAATGTAGACAAAATTTGTTCTCATCTGACTTAAACGGGTACCCCTGAAGAATTCTATGAGATACTTCTTTTTTTTTGTTTTGAAAACGTTGAACTTTTGTGGGGGAGTCATTAGAAGTAAACCAAGTTCTTTATCTTCAAACTTGATATAAGTAAATAAAATATTTTAAGCTGTACGCTAGATAATTTAAGTAGTTTCGAAATGGTCATTATAGACTAATCTACTTTTCATTCATTTCATTACAAGCTCGCATGTATATGACATCGTATGTCCAATATTTGATCAATTTGCTAATTTCTAATTCATAATAAATGAACTATTTTTTATACAGACAACGGGAAAGTATACCAAGCTGAATAAACAAAAATAGTTGGAATCAAAAGCATTATGAAAAAGTAATTTTTGCGGCAAAATGTGTTTTCTGAACATACTTTGCGGAATCACCCACAAACAATTTTTCGAAAAGTAAATCCCCGCATTAAAGATCCCTTTTTTGTCAAACAGAAAGAAACCACACATCTTGAAACAATGAATGATGGCTATAAAAGCCAAGTTCATTTTCAAAATCTACATCAGTTGGTAGTCATATTCTAAACAAGCAAAAGCTTTCCGCAGTCTTTACAAACGACCACAACATGAATTTCAATAAACTATTCGTTTTCGTGGCCTTAGTCTTGGCTGTGTGTATTGGACAAAGTGAAGCTGGTTGGCTGAAAAAAATCGGCAAGAAAATTGTAAGTAACAATTGTTTTTGAAAACACTTAATTCGAAAATGAATAATATTTTCTTATTGTTTTCATAGGAACGTGTTGGCCAACATACCCGTGATGCCACAATCCAAACTATTGGTGTGGCCCAACAAGCAGCTAATGTTGCCGCTACATTGAAGGGCAAATAATTGCAGATGTTATTAGTTTAAAACAAGTTAGCATTAAATAGTCGATTAATTTATTTATTTTAATAAAGTTAAAAATGAACAAATAAAAATTTCAAAAGCATTCTCTTTATAAAACGGGAAATTCAAGTTCTTAGCAGTCTACGTTTGGGATAACCCCATTTTAATGCAAAGTCGTATTCATTCATTAATATGGAGATATAACATTAATATGGAAATCTAACTTCCACAACAAATTACGGAAATATTTCACATTCAAACGTTTGGTGACAGTGGCACATACTTTCATCATTACTACACCTTTTTCCGTTGTAATTCGAATCATTTTTCGAATTATTTTAGCTGCAATTCGAGAATTCCAATTCCAAATTAACATCGGATACCATTCAGACTTGGTACATCTCACTAGTTCCACCAACACAAGATCTGTTATAAAGGTGGTAGAGATCGAACCATTTCTTCTTTCTTCTCTTCTTTCAAAAGTTTTAGAAAAACAAAACGCTCAAGAACTCTCTTCAAATTTCACACATACAAACATTTTTGCTAACACATGATCTGTTCTGAAGATGATATATATATCTGCGAACCCCTTCTGGTACCTCACAATTTGCGACAATTTGCAATACTTTTATCTGTCATAACTTGCGAAACAATTCGGCGAATCGTTGCAACTTGCTATATCTAAATATTTCTCTCAAAAAAACTGCAACAAAGTCAAACGCCATAATTTTTAATTTTTTATACCTATTGAATGAAAACAAAAAATGTCGGAAATAGTATCAAACTTTAGAATAAGTTTAGATTTGTTCGAATTGATCACCTTTGGCACGAAGTATGGCCTTCAAACGGCCAATGAAACCCTCATTCCCGACCAAGTGCTTGCTTGACGTGATTGACACTTTGGTATTTTTTAGTACCAGCATTGCTTTTCAAAATACTCCAACGGATTGATATCCGGAGATTTTGGTGGCCATTGTGCGAGGAACCTCATTTTGTAACCATACTTGGGTGGCGCGTGCTGAGTCTGATGGTGCTGAGTCCTGTTGGAATGTCCAAGATCTGCGGCCAAAATGTTTGCGTGCCCAAGGCTTTAATACACCTTCTAGAATATTTTTGCGATCATATTCGGCATTTATTCTGATGACACGGTCGATTAATACGAGCGGAGAGCGATCATCGGCTGTTACGGCGACCCTCACCGTCAGCATGGCCGGCGCTTGAGTTCTGGTGGCCAGCCGAAGGTGCAGATTTTCAGCTGACCTCTTTGGCAAGTAAACACGATCATTTTGTTTACAAACTGCAGGACAACGAATGTTTTCTCATCGAAGAAAACTAAATTCGACAGTTCACCACTTTCGGCCAAGCGAAGCAACTCTTTAGCTGTTTTGAGTCTATTTTCTTTCCGTTGCAGTTCAGTGCTTTTTAGAATTTCAATGCTTTACTCCGAGCTCATTTTCCAATATATGCTGAATGGAATATTCCGATATGTTCAGCTCACAAGCCATTCTTCGGCCACTGGGACGCGGGTTTCGATAAAGTCGCTTCTTTACTTTTCGAACCATTTCTCCTGATATTGCTGTTTTCTTCCGTCCACTTCCTTGACGTCGGGCTACGCTACCAGTATCACGGCAACGAGCGATGGTACGAGACACAAAAGATTCATTCACATTTAAATGCTGGAGTGCTCTAGCGATAGTCACTTGTGGTTTTCCAGCCAAATATAAAGAAATCACACTATCACGCTTCAATTCCATCACAAATATTTTTCTCCTGGAAAATTCTCACCAAAATGCTTTTGTACGCTCGTAAACAATATAATGAGCTGTCACTGGAATAAATTTAACCGCTGTCGGACGAGTGGCTTGGAAATGGCAGCAGTCTGAAGTTGGTTGCAGTTTTTTAATCTCACCCTGTATATATGATAAATTTAAAAAGTAAGCAGGATTTCTGTTATAAAAATCTATACTGAGTCGTCCAATGTTTAGTAACAATTTCTCAAGACTGAGAGACTGAACTGATCTCCCAATATCGTCAGAGTCTGTACTTATTATAAAAATTATTCAATATAAAATAAATGAATTATAACAAAAACACCTTTTATATTTAGTTTTAAATTTTTATTTTAATAAATAACTTAAAAATAATAAATAAAAATAAAATCAATTCTCTATTTTAACACTTTTATATTTTCCTTATTTTCCTTTCAAAGTTGCAGCCACATTTGCCGCTTGCTGGGCAACGCCAATGGCTTGAATAGTGGCATCGCGGGTATGTTGTCCGACACGTTCCTAATAGAAAAATAAGAAATTATATGTATTGAAATTCTAACTCCTAAATGATATTTAATTCACTTACAATTTTCTTGCCAATCTTTTTCAGCCATCCCGCTTCACTATGGCCAACAAAGACAGCCAATACCAAGGCAACAAAGACAAGCAATTTTTTGAAGTTCATGATGATGGTTTTTAATTTTGTGATTGTGTGTTGTGTTTAAGCTTTAGTTTGTTTTAAGTTTGATAGTAAACTGATGACGATCTCGTGAGCAAACTGAGCTTTTATATTCGACACAAACATATGATAAGCAATGGTAGTGACACATTTTGTATTGGATTCTTTTTTGTTTAATAAGGAAACACAAATTGGGGGATTTACTCTAAAAGAAATTTCAGGGAATGCGTATTTTCCCACAGAGGCTTTCATGTTCAGTGACCTTTTTGAAAGTGTCTCCTCTTGTGGTATTTGATGATTAGTTTTTAAATTTAAGATTAAAAAGTGGATTTCCCTTAATAAAATGTTTTCAACTTAAACAGTTTTTTTCTGTTTAGGATTAGTAATAGGCTTACGTTAAAATAGAATAAGTAAAAAAGCTTTAAATGTTGAATTTTCACGCAAATTTATTCTCCAATTGACATTCCATGTAACTGCAGACCTCCTTCGAATTTTGTTCTGATTCAGAATAAATATTCAACCTAATAAAATGAGTTTTATTTAGGTCAAAACCCGGAATGTTAAATTGATTTTGAAAGTATAGTTCAAATTTGTTCCTTCAAAATTTAAAGTCGTATTTTTAATAAAATCTTTCTATACACTATAAACCTTCAGGGGTTATTTTTGTATAGTACAAAAAGGATAATTTCATAGTAAATTATTTAAAGCACATTCAACAGATAATTTAATAAAAAATTCAACTTTTGCAAAAATAATTTTTTATTTTGATTATGAAAATATTACTTTCCATCGACGTTTAAGTACGAAATATACGTTACTTTTTTAAATAGTGCAAACGAAAACACTGAAGATCAATAGCAAGCTGAATAAACAAAAACAATCGTTATTATAGAACAATAAGTAATTTTTGCGGCAGAATTTTACCCCCACAAACTTGTGGAATCACCTACCATTTATCTTAAAGTAATTCCCCGCAATAACCATTCCTTTATGGCAAGCAAAAATCAACCACACATCTTGAAACAATGAACGATGGGTATAAAAGCTAAGTTCATTTTCAAAATCTACATCAGTTTGTAGCCACACACAAAACTAGCAAAAGCTTTGGCCTTTCATAATTTCTCCGGAGGAGACAGTCGCAAATTTATAAAAAACCGCAAAATGAATTTCAATAAATTATTTGTTTTCGTTTCCTTAGTCTTGGCTGTTTGCATTGGACAAAGTGAAGCTGGTTGGTTGAAAAAAATCGGCAAGAAAATTGTGAGTGACAGCTTTTTTGAAAAAAAAAAAACTAATTTAGAGCATTAAATAAGTACTAACTTATAAAATTAATAATATTTTTTAATTTAATTTATAGGAACGTGTTGGTCAACATACCCGCGATGCTACAATTCAAACTATTGGTGTGGCCCAGCAGGCAGCTAATGTTGCCGCCACATTAAAGGGTTAATATTCTCGAGTCTTATTATTACTATTAAATAAGTTAGCATTAAACATATAACTAAGTTATTCATACCAATAAAAAAATGAATAAAAAACTTCCTTTAGAAATTTAGTACAAAAAATGAAACGCTTATAGTTTTAATTACACCATGGGACAATTACAAAACCATAGCCTAGACAACTGGAAATTCTGGATCATATACCGGTTAACATTGTGAATCACTCAAATATACAAGTATAATACGAATCATGTAAACTTACAACTATCTATCTCTCTCTGAATTGTATTCTATTTATCGCATAGTATCAACCTAACTAGGAATTTTCGATGCCCACATGAATTTAGAATTTTAACAAAATCATAATATGCCTACGACAAAGTGATACTCATTTGGGAATTATACGAAAATGTATACATTGGCTTTTTTTCTGCACAAAGATAGCCTAAATCTAATTTATAATCGAAGTAACTGGAAATAATATAAGTGATTTTTCAAAGTCCAAAGCTCCTACTTAAATTATAGAGGTTAAAGTCAATATATTTATCCCATTCGCCTTCGACAGGTTGTATAAAGAGCCATAAAAACTTGGCTGGAAACCAATGATTACTTTTGTAATATTTGATCTTTCTTTAGATCGTCTCTTATTGATGTAAATTTAGTAAGTCACCGGGATAGGGTTGAATACATGACAAGTTTTACTATGAAAATACAGGGTGATATAAAAAAACTGCAACAAAGTTAAACGACATAATTTTTACATTTTTTTAAATTTTATTGAATGAAAGCAAAAAATGTCGGAAATAGTATCACATATTAGAATAAGTTTAGATTTGTTCGAATTGGTCACCTTTTGCACGAATTATGGCCTTCAAACGGGCAATGAAACCTTTACACTCTGCCAGAATGTTGCTCTGCGGTATTTTGGCTCATTCCCGGCGAAGCGCTTGCTTAAGGTGATCGACACTTTCTTATTTTTAGTGCCAACCTTGCTTTCAAAAATGCTCCAGACATTGAGCGCTGGAAATGAAGCAAGGAACCTAATTTTGTAACCATTCTTGGGTGGCGCGTGCTGAGTGCGATGGTGCTGAGTCCTGTTGGAATATCCAAGGTCTGCGGCCAAAATGTTTGCTTGCCCAAGACTTTAATAAAACCTCCAGAATATATTCGCGATAATATTCGGCATTTATTCTGATGCCACGGTCGATTTATACGAGCGGGGAGCGACCATCACCATGGCCGGTACTTGAGTTCTTGTGGCCACCCGAAGGTGCACATTTTCAGCTGACCTCTTTGGCAAGTAAACACGATCATTTTTTTTTGTTTACAAACTGCTGGACAACGAATGTTTTCTCATCATAGACAACAAAATTCGCCAATTCACCACTTTTGGCCTAGCGAAGCAACTCTTTAGCTCTTTTGAGAAATATTTTCTTTCTGAGGTCTCAGCAAAATGTTTTTGTTCGCTTGTAAACAATATAATGAACTGTCACTGGAATAAATTTAACCGCTGTCGGACGAGTGGCTTAGAAATGACAGCAGTCTGAAGTTGGTTGCAGTTTTTTCATCTCACCCTATATAAAATCGGTTTCAATCGAAAACTACATTATATGAGAAAACGAAAAAAGGTGTCAAACTTTTTATATTCTCTACGTTTAGGAATACTTAAGAGCTCCAAATACCAAATTTTATACCAATCGGTTTATGGGATATAATTCCAAATACCAAATGTAATTAGTATGTGCCATATAACAATAATTTTAGCGTTACTTGGGGGATATTCCTAAAACCAAGACCGAAACATGAATATATATAGAAATATTTTTCGAAATACATTTAATGTGTGCCTATAGCGAACATTGTTGATATTTTTATATGGAAGTGTCCCCGTCTATCCTGAAACTTTAAAATTACCGAAAATCGGGAGTTATGACTAAGGAAAGTAAGGAAATGATATCGTTTTATTAGTTTTGGAGTTATCTTGGTCGCAGTCTTCAGAAATGTGGATTCGAGCAAGTAAAAAGCAGTTAAGTTCGCCCGTACCGAACTTTGGAAGATAATTCAAAATTTTCAAAAAAAATCCGTCCAAAAATACAGGTCCTGCATAAGTTTTTTTTTAATAATAAATTTGAAGCAATACCTGTGAATAATGTCGCTAAAATTGTCTAAATAAAGAACAACCATTACGAAATTTGAAACAATTCCGTTAAAAAAATGTCGCTAAAATCATCAAAATGCCGAATACTGGGAGGTTCCCTTATATAGGAGCTATACGAAAACATGGATTGACATAGCCCATTCACTTAACCTTCCAACTGGAAAAATATACACGTGTGCAAAAATTTAGCCTTCTATCTCAATTATTCCTAAAGATAGCGTGATAACAACAGACAAGCAGAGGATATAAAAAGGACCTTGAGCGATTAAAGTTAATCAGGTGGAGACATCGATATAATCTCTCTGATATGTGCAAACTCTTACTATAAAAATTGCAGTTAAAAGCCTTTAATATTTTGTTTCATATATTTTTTATTTCAATAAATAATTTAAAAATATTTTATATTATCCTATGTTATCAGTTCACTTTTGTAATTTTTTAGCAGGTTTCTCATTTCCCCTTCAATGTTGCAGCCACATTTGCTGCTTGCTGAGCAACTCCAATAGCTTGAATGGTCGCATCACGGGTATGTTGTCCAATGCGTTCCTATCCATCAAAATGTTAAAATAATTTTATTTAAATATTTTTATTAAAATATTAAATCATGTTTTTAAGTGTACGTACAATTTTCTTGCCAATCTTTTTCAACCAACCCGCTTCGCTGTGGCCAACAAAGACAGCCAAAACCAAAGCAACAAAAACAAACAATTTGTTGAAGTTCATGATTTTTTATTTTGTGATTGTATGTTGGAATAAGCTTTACTTTGTTCTAAGTTTGATGGCAAACTGATGCCGGTCGCAACAGCAACCTAAGCTTTTATGGACAACATTTTTAGCAAGCAGAATGACACATTTTGTACTGTACTCTTCAGCGTTCAAAAAGGAAATACAAAATTAGGGGAATTACTTTAAAGACATGTAAGAGATAGCGTATTTCCCCACAAAGACTTGCATGTGGCTATTGACTTTCACAGTGACAGCTTATCAAACATCATAAAGTTTGAGCAGCCTCCCTTTGTTTAGGAAGGAATTGAGAAGTATATCGGATGATTAATCCAGACAATGATATTTGTGTTAATGTGTAATGTGATAAAAGAAAAATGGAAATTCCGTTTTCACAATGTTACATTGTACATTGACAAAAATAAACACCAAAATTAGCTATTAAGACCTCTGTAAAAATGAGAAACTATTTAGTTCTAATACATAAAAAAATTAAATTTAACTAGTAAGGAAATGTCAAAAGTCGGGCGAGGCCGACTATATGATACCCTACACCACTATGCGTGTTTAGTAGAGCTTACGTAACGAAAAGATTATATTGGGAATTTATGCAAAGTAGATCATACCAACTCTGAACCAAATAACATTGATGTATAGTTCATGATATAACTTCGATAAGTATGATATTTAAAAGTTTTTATTAGAGCAATAAATATATCAGACGAAGCTTCATGGTAAAATTCGGTTGAAAATAAAAAAAATTCTATTCAATTTGGGCTGATATTACATATGTGGCGGACAATAACCGTAAAATCGGATGAAGATGTACATGGTGAGATGAAAAACTGCAACCAACTTCAGATTGCTGTAACTTTTAAACCACTTATTCGACAGCTGTTAAAATTATTCCAGTGACAGCTTATTATTATGTTTACAAGCGTACAAAACCATTTTGGTGAAAATTTTCCAGAAAAAAAGTTATTCGTGATGGAATTCAAGCGCGATAGTGTGATTTCTTTATATTTGGCTGAAAAACAACAAGTGGCTATCGTTAGAGCACTCCAGCATTTAAATGTGAATAAATCTTTTGTGTCTCGTACCATCGCTCGTTGCCGTGATACTGGTAGCGTAGCCCGACGTCAAGGAAGTGGACGAAAGAAACAGCAACATCAGCAGAAATGGTTCGAAAAGTAAGAAGCGACTTGATCGAAACCCGCGTGGCTCCTTCGGTTGGCCACCAGAACTCAATCGCCGGCCATGGTGATGCTGTGGTCCGCCATAACAGCCGATGGTCCCTCTCCGCTCGTATTAATTGACCGTGGCATCAGAATAAATGCCGAATATTATTGCGAAAATATTCAGGAGGGTGTATTAAAGCCTTGGGCACACAAATATTTTGGCCGCAGATCTTGGACATTCCAACAGGACTCAGCACCATCGCACTCAGGACGCGCCACCCAAGAATGGTTACAAAATGAGGTTCCTCGCTTCATTTCCAGTGCACAATGGCCACCAAAATCTCCGGATACCAATCCGTTGGACTATTGTGTCTGGAGTATTTTGGAAAGCAAGGTTGGCATTAAAAAATACCAAAGTGTCCAAAATATCAAGTGGGCCAAAATACCGCAGACCAATATTGGGGCAGCGTGTGACGGTTTCATTAGCCGTTTGAAGGCCATAATAATTCGTGCCAAAGGTGACCAATTCGAACAAATCTAAACATATTCTCAAATTTGATGCTATTTCCCACATTTTTTGCTTTCATTCAACAAAATTTAAAAAAATTTAAAAATTATGACTTGTGACTTTGTATTTTTTTATCTCACCCTGTATTCATATTAAATGTTTCATATTAAACATTCGTTATACCCGAGAAAATTAAACTACCAACTGAGAAACTACCCACGAATAAACCTTAAAATTACTGAAAATCAGAAGGTAACACCAAATGGGGACTTTGACAAAATGTGTGGAATACCGTAAATTAGGAGGTGCTACTATACGTAAACGTGTACAAATATTAAACATTTTCAATACAAAACATCATAAAAATGTTAAACTATATCTAGATTTCAAGAAAAACCTACCGTCACTTACTTACTTTATGGGGTCTAAGACGAATATTTCGAGATGTTGCAAATGGAAAAACAATCCATCTAATAAGCAGATCAAGAATATTATAGTGTTTTACATAAACATTTTTTAGAGGATTAGCCAAGATAACAAATCAATTTCAATAAATTATAGTTAAATAGTTAATTATCACAGTTAACCCGGAATTGGAAGTGTAAGTGCTCAATGTTTCCAATATTTTCCTATATTTTATTGCAAGCAAATCTTAAAAATGCCAAAAATGGCATATGTTAAAGCTCGATCCATCTGGCATTTTTTTTTTTTTGTGGTACATTTTTAATTTTCTGAAGCAAATATTTTTTATTATTATTTATTCATTATAAAAAATATATTTGGCATATTCTTATAGTTAGTTTATACAAAATGCTTATTATTTTCCTTTCAATGTTGCTGCTACATTTGCTGCCTGCTGCGCCACACCGATGACTTGAATAGTAGCATCACGGGTATGTTGACCGACGCGTTCCTTCAAAAGAAAAATTAAATCATTTAATAAAATTTGTATGGGGAAATATTTTTTATACTTACAATTCTTTTTCCAAAATCTCTTAACCAGCCAGCTTCACTTTGTCCCAGGCATACAGCCAAAACCAATAAAACGACAGCAAACAACTTATTGAAATTCATTTTTTGTTAAATTGATTTTCCAAATTAGAATTTTGTTTATTAAATGTCTCTCTTTCAAGTGATAAAGAAACATATGCTATGAACTGCTTTTATACTCATCCGTAACAGGAATTATTGTTTTCTTTTGTGGTGAATAAATAATAAACAATTGGGGGATTAACTTTTTGTAAGATTTTAGGTGGTTTTTCATGTTGTGGTTAAAGGATTTAAACTGAAAAATAATTTTGACATTTTATTAAGACAAATTACGGATAAAGTATTGAATGAAAAAATGTACATGTGTCCGAAGTTGATTCTTGGTCAGAACACTGACCTCAAAATTTTGTTACTTTTAATTGAGGTACTCCAGCCTAACAAGAGTGTCTGTCATTTGGAAATTACCAAAATAATATTCCCCTATTGTGATTCACAATTTTATCACTAAAAATCAAAAAATACACTTTCTCTAAACAAACCATATGGTTAATTAATTCAGATGAAAATAAAGCTTTGTCGAAAGCTTGTTAATATCATCTAAAACTAATTCCATATAGTACATGTTGTTATTATCATTTTTAATGATCAAACCAAATTTTTAACAATTTTCAAATATGTGGAGGAACAATAACACTCTTAATTTAAACAAAAATTGTACTAGAATCCTTAACATCATATATCGGAGATGAAATTACAAATCTTTCTTGAAATTACAAATAACTTGAAAATATCACGATTTTATAATCTTTAATATCAAAGTAAAGTAGACTTAGTGTGGTACCGAAATTAATTTTGGCCATGAGCGGATTTATTTCGCCTACATTTCCTTACATATAATATATGGCGGGTGGTACCTTATATAATAATGGTGATCTTGAATTTTTTGCATTCTTCGTATGAAGCATGACATTATAAATGTTATTGCATATCTTATTAAAATTACAAAACCAGAGACTAGATTCCCAACATACAAGCACAAGCCGATATGATCCATGGTATCAAAACGTAGAAATGTTTTACAACTTCTAAAATTTAAGGATGATTCAAAATATCATAAAATCCATTAAATATGATATTAAAGCGCCAGTTGAGATAAAAAAACTGCAACCAACTTCAGACTGCTGTCACTTCAAAGCCACTCGTCCGGCAGCTGTTAGAATTATCTCAGTGACAGCTCATTATAGTGTTTACAAGCGTACAAAAGCATTTTGGTGAGAACTTTCCAGAAAAAAGTTATTCGTGATGGAATTCAAGCGTGATTTGTTTATATTTGGCTGGAAAACCACAAGTGGCTATCGTTAGAGCACTTCAGCATTTAGATGTGAATAAATCTTTTGTGTCTCGTACCATCGCTCGTTGCCGTGATACTGGTAGCGTAGCCAGACGTCAAGGAAGTGGATGGTAGAAAATAACAACATCAGCAGAAATGGTTCGAAAAGTCAAGAAGCGACCCGCGTCGCAGAGGCCGAAAAATGGCTGGTGAGCTGAAAATATCGCAATATTCCATTGGGCAAATGTTGAAAAATGAGCTCGGGGTAAAGTCATTGAAATTCCAAAAAGTGCAAGAACATACACCGTAACAGAAAGAATATAAACTCAAAAGAGCTAAAGAGTTGCTTTGCTTGGTCGAAAGTGATGAACTGCCGAATTTGATTTTCTTCGACGAGAAAGCATTCGTTGTCCAAAATCTCCGTATACCAATCCGTTAGACTATTCTGTCTTGAGTAGCGCTTCGCCGGGAATGGAGCAAAATACCGCAGAGCAACATTAGAGCAGCGTATGGCGATTTCAACTCGTGCCAAAGATGACCGATTCGAACAAATCTAAAGTTATTCTAAAATTTCATGCTGTTTGCGACATGTTTTGATTTCATTCAATAAAATTTAAATTTTCAAGGACATTCCATCGCGAGCCTTTCTAAGAGATACATGTTTAAGGAATTCCTAGCTGAAATTGTTGGATTTTTTAACGACTTCATGAAATAGCAAACAAAAAAAAAACAAGTATGCATAGGTTATAGTCGTGCGGGCCGACCATGAGGTACCCTACAACACCACAATATGTTAGAAGCCCCCTTATGTCCAAATCCATTTTAGAAGATTTCGCTTTTGAAATTATGTCACGGAGCACTTGCCAGATATTACCCTTAACATAACCAGGGACATTTGCCCAATATTTACGCACTCCGTTGTGCTGTTAGTGGTTGTGGTCCCGTTTACAGCTAAATATAATCCAATTGACAACCAAAATGCTGGAATTCTTCCCTGTCCTTAACTCTCTTCTCAGGCGTGTCGATTGGCTTCAATTGTGTGATCAGGAATTTTTTTTATTTTGGTTCAAATATGATCGCAAAA